GTGCTAAATCAAATGGTGAGATCTACAATATTGCATATTGTGCATAACATCAGCACAAGAGGGCTCTTAAAGAATGCTTGGCCTTTGTTTGATCAATTCATTAGTGGTAAAAAAGTGAAAAGGTTAACGTACATTTGTGATCGTGGTGCTGTTTTGAATGTGTGTGAGCATGATGTTGTGTTTCTAACCTTGCATTAATCAGTGGTGGAAACAGCAACAGACAAACATTTAAAAGCACCTCACTTATGACCTCGCATTAAACAGGAAGAGTCCAGCATGTTCAAGTTGTTTCCAAGGGCGTAGCTTTCACAATAAACTACTTAGAATCTCGGAGTGAAATGATCACGCTGATAAACAGAGTCCCTAACGTGCTGCTAAATTACATCTTTTGCCTATTATCTCTGACAAACAATGGCACGGCCCGACTCCACACATTTCAAAGCAAACAAAAATACTGAACTTGGCAGCGGGATGAAAGAAGGCGTGAGGCTCTGGTGCTGCTCTGTGGTTTGTTGGGTTATGGCTCATTTAAAGAGCTGGTTGTTATCTTTAAAGTATGAATATCTGTGTTTACAGCAGCCAAGGATAGAAGATTGTTTTTGTTGTTGTAATTATTCATAAAGTGCATACATTTTAGTAGAGAATCGTTTGTGTTTGATTCAAGCAATGATTTGGCAAAGGTTTGACACAAAATCAATTTTGATAGCAGAAAACTGCTTGGGACTGTTTTGTATTAAGTTATCTGTTCACACTCACCTCGAATAAAATGTTGATGTTTACTTCAGTACAACAGAGAACATTATTCTCATCCTCTGGCTATCGTTAGCTTTTTAAAAAAAGAGATGCTCAACTCTAATTTGGGCACAAAGAATCACATTGTACCACTTAACAATAAGGTTCCCCTCATGGCTAATAAATAGTTTATAGATACTTTATTAATTCCTCTACAAACACTTTATAAATCATTAATAACTGCTTATGATGCATTAATTAAGGGTGAGAAAGAGGCAAAATTGAACAGTTTCTTGTCAAATCTGTTCACCTAATATGTTTAATTAAGTATTAAACATTTCAGACTAAGTTACTACCTTGTGAGAACAATAAGCATTTGTAAACCTATTTATTTAGCATATAATTCTTCTTTATCTTTTGGCTGCTCCCTTCTTCAGGAGTCACCACAGCGAACTAAGTTGCACAAAGACTTGGCGATTATTTTTACGCTGGATGATGTAACCACAGACCATCGAGCTACCGCAGCTCTCTGTGTGGAGCAGAGAGCTGCTATTTAGGGCAGCCTGGGGGAGCAGATGGGGGGTGGGGGAGGTTAAGGGCCTTGCTCAAGGTCCCAGAGTGGGACAAATGAGGGTAGAGACAGGTATGTGTCCTTCACCAATCCCACCCACATTTTGATGTCGGTACTGGGAGATGAACCAGTGATCTTCCGCTCACAGGCCCACCTTCTCTAACCTCTGCACCACCACTCCTAATATGGACTAAGTGCAATATCATATCCTACAACAATTAGGTTTACAAATGCTTATTGTGCTTTCAAGGTAGTAACTTAGTCTGAAATGTTTAATATAACAACTCTAGATGAAATATATACGTGAACAGATTTGGCTCACTATTTGGGAAGAAATTGGCCAGTTTTGACTTTTTCTCGCCCTTAATTAATGCACAATAAGCAGTTATTAATTATTTATAAAGTGTTCATAGAGGAATTAATAACGTATCTATTAGTCATCTATAAGGGGAGCCTTAATGTAAAATGGTACTGTAAAAATTATCAGCTTTCTTTTATTAATAATGAAATCTCTCTGCAAATGAATATAGAAAAACCCATGGCAGCAACACCAGAACACAAAAACACATATTTCTGTCTCCTGTATAGCTCCCCGTTCTGCTCTGCCTGGTTTGTATATTTTGTTCTGCTTTGCCTATGTGAAGACAGAACAGGAAGAGATAAAGGCAGCCCTGTTGGGGTGTTTACAGTTAGCAGCGCTGAGGAGAATAGCTGGACAAGATGAAGGGGAAGAGGCCTAATGGCTGGCGCTGAGCAGCCAGACGCTTCTTACTGTGAAAAATCACCCTGGAGCCAAGAAAAGTGAGCAAGGAATTTAGATATCTTGCACATGTCTGAGAAAGCATCAAGCTCGTTTCTAACACGATAGATTCAAGACAGAGGAACGGCTGAGTATTTCCAAAGCCATATTTTATTATAGATATTAAATCATTTATTTATTTCATTCATCTGAATTATCCTGTTGTAAAAGCTGAGGGAAAATCAAAATTGGGCTATTGGGTGTCAAATATATGTGAGCAATTAATTCAAACGCTCAACAGTCACTAAAACTGATACATTTGTTCACATTGCCAGAAGCATCGTGATCACCTTCAGTAATATACGTTCAAACTCACTTATAAAGACAAACAAAAAGCTGAAGCAAGAAAACAATGGCACACAAATATTTTATTTTATTTAAACCTTTATTTTACCAGGAAATAAATCCATTGAGATTATTAACCTCTTTACAAGGATGTCCTGGGCAATGTGCAAGGTGCAAACAAGTCATTGCAAATACAGCAACAATCTCAATAACAATAACAGTAATATTAAAACATTTACAACAAAACATCTGGTAATAAGACATAAAACACAATGCAAGTTTAAAAACTATCATAATTTAACTGTTTTTGTTTGTTTGTTTGTTTGTTTGTTTGTTTGTTTGTTTTTTAGTTTGGAGTGGCTGTGGCTGAGTGGTTAAAGCAGTCATCCTCCAATGCAAGAGTTGGGGGTTCGATTCCACCAGCAGTCACATGCCCAAGTGTCCCTGGGCAAGACACTGAATCCTTCATTACCCCCGATGTGTGTCCCATCGATGTATGAATGTGAAAAAGCTCTGATTAATCTTTGTATAGATCTAGTAGAGTGCTGTATGAATGGGTAAATAAGGGCACAGATTGTAGTGTAAAGAGCTTTGAGTATCTTGATAATAGAGAAAGGTGCTGTATAAGTAATAATAATAATAATAATATTAATAATTTTATTTAAAAAGCACCTTTCATGACACCCAAGGACACTTTACAGTAAGAACAAAGATCAACAGGAATAAATTACATAAAGAATATAAAATACATAAAGAATATAAAATACATACAGCAAAGTTAAGGATAAGCGAGTCTAAAGAGATGTGTTTTCAGAGCAGTCTTGAATATAGAAAGAGAGGTGGTGTCTCGTAAGTCAGGGGGTAGAGAGTTCCAGAGATGAGGGACAGAGCAGGTGAAGGCCCTGCTCCCCATGATGGAGAGGCGGGCAGAGGGTGCATGGAGGTGTAGCGAAGAGGAGGATCTGAGAGAGCGAGAGGGGATGGAGATGTGTAAGAGGTCAGACAGGTACGGAGGGGCAAGGTTGTGGATAGCTTTGAAAGTGAGAAGAAGAATTTTGAAGACGATACATAAAGTATCTGGGCATCTCTTGTTCAGATGACCTGACTGAAAAATGTTGGATTGTATACCTGGATTATTGAGCATGGACTTTGTTGTTTTCAACCAGTTTGACAAGACTGTCAACAAGGAAGAGGGCCGGCAATGGAGGAGGGGGCGTACCAAAGAGACCATCTTATCACAAGCAAAACTGGTTTGTTCCACTTTGGAGTAAGCTGTTGGGGGAAGAATCAGTTTTGTTGTGTGTTTCCTTGACTGCTGAAGCCTTCCGGATCGAAGGCGAAACGTTTCAGCATAAAAAAAAGAAACTGTCCAGATGACCTGACTGAAAAATGTTGAACATTGAAGAAAATTAACAGAAGACAGGATATTCTGGTCTGATGTGTTTTTTGTATTTCTTTTGTGGAGTAAATAAAAACAGGAAGCTTCATGCAGGCAAATGTGTAGCACGCATGTAAATAACTATACATAAAGCTACTCCCTCCTAGAAGCTCCTGTGGACAACAGGTTTGTATTTGCATTCAGAACATCAACAGCATCATGATGTCAGCTTAAATTCAGCTAAGGGAAGAAAACAAAAAGACAGCAGAAGTTCATTTATTGCAGCTACTCATCTTGGATGTGTCTTGGGGGTGTTCAGCTAACAACCTCCATCTCCAGGCTTTGTGCTAAAATTAAAAAGTCACATAAAAATGTAAGCAAGATCTCAAAATGCTGGAAGTTGTCTACTATTTTGCAGCATTTCCCATTTGCACAGCTTGAAGCCAAAATTCAGCTTTTTATATTTGTTGCCAATCAAAGAAAGTCTGCAGGTTTCCTTTAACTGCCCTTTGAGATCAACACACAAACACACACAGAAATGAATGATTTTGTGTTTTCGTTCACCTAAGAGAGCTTCATACAGAATGCAGGACTTCCTGTTTGCGACGCTTTTCCTGCTGTGGATGAGCTCCCGACAGCTTGTCCTCAATAACGACTTCTGAACACAAGCCTTTCTTGCAACAACTTGGTTTTAATGACATATCAGTCTTCATGGACTAAGTGAAATATTTAGGTCATTATGTTCTGTCTGCTATTAAATATGCATTTGATGGCACAAAGAATTTTCAGCAACAATGCTAATAAAACCTGAGCTTCTATAACTGGAGAATTGCTTTATGCTTTATTTTTTTCCTATTTGTGCCATCTTTGAAGCCACAAAGGAGAAAATTAAAAGACTCAAGCTAATTTTAGTATTTCATTCCTCTCTTCCTCTTTCTGCAGGAGCTCATTTGACTACAACAAAACGAACACTGGCTTGTGTGTATTTCAGCTTGTCACCAGGTCAGCACTGAGGCAGCACTCCACCTGGCCACCTAGTGGAGGTTCAACTCCCCACTGGTCAACAGGGGTCTTACAGACAACTATCTCCCTCATCTGGGGAGATGCCTGCCCTGCAACATCTCTTGTGTCCTGCTCAGCTTTAACAGTTGAAAGTAATATAGCAAACCAGGCGGTGAGAATTAAAGAAAAAGCTTGAGTTAAAGGTTTTCTTGGCTCTTATAGAGTTTAAAAATCATATTTGTGAAATACACAATTGTTGGTTTGCAAGCTAATGGTGCCCTTAAAGCAAGAAGCAAACTACAAAACTCTCATCTAGGCGGCTCAAAGAAGAGCATCCAGATGGATTTGTCAGCAACCACGCTACCGACAACAACAAATGGTAAAATGAAGTTTTATTATATTGTTTTGTTGATAAATCACATATTTTAATAATAAATAAATAAAAAACACAGACACTCTAAGAAAATATTAAATGAACTTGTTTATCCTGAACTATATCAGATGGCTCAGTTTGAAAAGGTTTACTCCAGAGGTTGTTACGATATATGGATCTGCAGTTGTTAAATGCAGGTACACACCCACTGTAAACAAAGCAACGGGCCGAGTCTGCCAACACACGCTTGATGGATTCTCTAGATTTGTTTCAAATCACTGTTTTCTTCTTTCACTCTTATGCTGCCACAACATCCTCACTACGAGCAAGGAGTGAGTTTCTGTGCTGCTTTCTTCCAGACACGGTGACCGCCCAGAACAAGAACTATCCCAGCCACAACTGGGAGTTCTTGGTGGCAGTCCTGGTCACGGCCATCTCTGTCTCCATTCTCATCGCTCTCCTGGCCAAATGCCAGATGATTCGACGTTACTTGGCCAGCTACAGACACACACGACTGAGGGAGATAGAAACTCTCAGCCAGTGTGACTCGTCAGGTTTGTTTTCGTTTGTTTTCCTCCACAAAAATCTGAAAGAATGTTGCTAAATATTATTTTTTATTGGGGGTGGGTGTAGAATTCTGCTTGCAGTTATGGTAATAAACGTGTAATTACAAGCTCATTACATGAAGATATGAATTATATTTCCATCACAGAGAGCAGCTTTTTTAAAAACTAACAAAACAAGGCATATTAATAACAATAATAATAATAATAATAATAATAATTTAATACAAATAATCTAAGGGTTACATTTGCTAAATGGCTAGCTAAAAGCTAGATTATTAAAAGGGTAGCTAAAAGCCAAAAGTAGCAGAGCTGTATCTATAAATTAAACGTTTCATGAAAAAAAAAAAGAGAATATTTGTAAATAAAGGTAACTATTCTGAAATGTATTAAAGCTATAAATAAAATTAATAAAGTCACAGCACCCAATTGAACCTTTGAAATGTAAATGGCTAAAACAACATATGCAAACACATATTAGATTGGAGAAAAAGATATATACAGAAAAAAAGGAACAAAGGGTAGAATAATTAAGCACTGATGCTATTAATATCATAATCGGACACTAAATAGAAAGAGAGGAGGTGGAAACGCAGACAGTGACTGGGAAACAGACATCAGTCGCAGCAGCCGCCACGCAGAAATTCTTTGCTCTGGTGTCTTTGGTGCTCAGAGTGCTGAATCAGCAGTTTGTGAGCTTGTCAGACTGAATGATTGGCGATTCAAGCTCGTAACCAAAGATTTTCTTACAAGTTTATTCTTTTCACAACAATATATTTTGTGTAAGATGGCCAAAAGTCACACAACGTGAACTTGTTATAGTCAAGTCAGTTGTGACGATCAGTAAAGCTCACACATTTAGACCTGGAAAAGAAATGATGCTTTCTCAAAGCCAAAAGTGAGAGAAACTGACATACGTGCCCTGATTCTTTAATGAACACGGCTGTTAATCCTGGCAGTCATGACAGACTGAACCCACCTTGAACTGATGTTTGTTTCTGTCCTTCTCCAGGTCTGGGGGTGGAATTTGACTTGCGCAGGGGCCGTGGAATGAACCCTCACTCTTTTCCTCCCGTGAGCGAGGATGATGATGACGGCTTCATTGAAGACAACTATATCCCGGCCAGTGAGAGAGCCAGGGCTGAGAGAGCAGCTCAGGACATGGAGGTGGAGGAAGACACGGAGGAGGAGCTGGAGGAGGTTGAATTCAGCATCACTTAGCGTTAGCATCTCTGCACTATTTGCTGGTTGAGCCAGAAACCTAAACCACCAATTTCACTCCACTGAAAATGTAAGATTCAGATTCAGTCTCCGTCCTGATTCTCCCTTAGTGTGAAGAAACTTGTGACCATCTCCACCACCGTCGAGGATATTTAGGATTTATAATATATATATATAT